AGCCATAGGACAAAAGGAAACAGCCTCACATTGCAGCAGGTCTTTAGGTTGGATTGTAAGGAATCGTTTTCATTTTAAGGGCTGCGAAGTATTGAAACAGACTGCCCAGGAAGCAGTTGAGTCACAATTCCCGGAGGTATTTAAGGACACAGACATAGTGCTTAAGGACATGCATTAGCTGCAGACTTGGCAGCGAAAGGTTAACGGTTGGAATTCATGATCTCAGGGGCCTTTTCCAACGCCAATGGCTTTCCTCTGCCCCCCATGACCACGCCGGCACACACGCAGGCCAGGCCTGCACAGCTGCTCTGCCACACGGACTGCATTCATCGTCCAACCAGGACCCTGTCTGCCTAGTTCTGCTCCCTCAGCACCCCTCAAGGGCGGCCTCCACGTTTCCACAACGAGGCTCGGAGGGACCTTGCGACGTTACCACAGAGCACCTCACAGCCGGGCCCAAGCTTTTCTGACGGGAACGAGGGGCAGGGCCGCAGACCCGCCGGGACGGACCCTCCCCCCTACACACACCCCGGTCGCACTCACTCCTCGAGGAAGTCCTGGAACAGCTTCTGGCACTTCTCGGCCACCTCATCGCGCAGTTGCTGATGCTGCTGCGCCGCACCCGCGCCGCCGACCGCCACGGCCAGATCCATCGCTCCCGCTGCCGCCCCGCTCCCGGCCCTCGCCCCACCCACCACCCTTCGCGCCGCAGCCGCGCCGGCCAATGGGTGGCCGCCGTCCCGCAGAGCCCCGCCCCTCGCCCCGCTCTTCCTCTTCCCTCTCGGGCGTTTTCGCGCCAAAATCGAGCGGCGCCTCAGGGCCGTGGGCGGGGCTCGTGCCACGCCGTACGCGCACGCGCCTGGCGCCTCGCCTTCATGGCCGCCGGGCGCGCGCAGTCGGCAAAGCTTTGAGCGCCGCAGCCCGTGGGGATCGAGCGCGCCCCGTAACCGCGCGTTGAGTCATCCCAGAGCGCGCGAGTCCTGCGGGTGCCGCCCCCATGGCGGCACTGGGACCCGGGGCTCCGAGCTCTGTCAGGAAATGGCTGCTCTGTGCTGATTACACGCGCGGCACGTGCGCTGAGTGTAACGCGGTGTGAGCCAGTCCAAGGGCGGGCGCTTGTGCGCTTGAGGCGGCATTTGCCGAGCGACGGCACCGTGCGGTGACAGCTGCTGGCGAGCGATGCGCTGCCAGGAACAGCTCTGAGGGCTGCGAACAACTGCTCGGAATCGCAGTGCCACCTGCAAAGACATCCTGCTCTGCCCGAGCGGGAAACGCTCCTGCAATTAAGGCAGCTAAGGGCTGATTTTTTTTTTTTTTTTCAGTTCTGAAAGACTTCTCAGAGACTCTAAAAATAAAAATCTAGCAGTGCAAGCTTCCTGCAAGTGTATGTTATGGTGCTCTTACTGTGCAGCGCACAGTCTCATTTGCAGAATGGTAAAAGCAACTCATTGTAACATTTTCTTTTTAGGGATTTGCAGTGAATATTGGAAATGAAGTGTCTTTGCACTGCACTCTCACTGCTTAGACTGCAATAGAGATAAACCCGAGCTGGTGTTTGTTTCATTCCACAGGTACAACGTGCTTGGTCATCATCGGGTGGCCCTCAGCACACACAGTGCTGCCAAAAGAGTAATTAAAGTGATTAAAAAGTACTTCTCCAAAAACATCCCTACTGCTTCTAAAAGCACGTAACAAAGTTCAGCTCACCATTCAGAGGTGGAGGGCAGTCGGTACCAATCCTGCCCCAGCTGCAAAACCCAGGGTGAGGAGAAGCTACGTATCCTGGCACCAGCACTAACAGGGCAGCTCTTGGCTGAAGCCAGCTGGTGTGCTCCCAGCCCATCTGCTCTCTTCTAGTTCTTCCTCTCTCAAAAGGCAGCCTCTTTGGAAACCACCCGTGACAGAAGGAGTCTGAAAGACTCCCCAGGTTTTATCTGGAAACACGGGCTCAGTATCTTCCCTGGGAAAGATCCTGTGGGGGAAGCCTATCAGTTTCATTATATCTTCCTTTTGTTATCAGGAAAGCCTGGAAGGGCAGAGATGAGATGGTGAAGTTACTGGCACAATCAGTGTGTGAAAAAAACATTTTGCCCTCTATATAAAGGAATAGCTGATTGATCTTAAGCACTTACTACGTGAATTCAAATCAAAGAACAAGCTTTCAAGCTTCAGAAGATGTCTGCAAGAATATCAGTGTTCGGGTTTTTTTTTCCCAAACAACTTGAAAGCAACTACAAAGTTTTGATTGTAGTGAAAACATGCACGATTCTGACTGAAGATTTAAGTACCCATAGACTAAGGGAATTGTATCTGTGTATGTATCTAAGGACACAAAGTGAGACAGTTATTAATTGCAGATGTACTGGAAAGCGTGGGACCCGAGCATGATGGATATGAATGATATGGAATAACATGTGGAGATCGATCATACTGGATGGAATGGGATGGAATTCATTTTCTTCCAAGCAGGTGACATGGTGCTATGCTATATACATTTGTGACCAAACAATGGAGGCTGAGCAAGACGTTAGGAGCAGACACAAACAGGCAGCTGACCTAAACCAACCACGTAACATCATAAGCAGCAATAAAAAGGGAGAGGAAGGGGTTGGGGATTTGCCATATTTTGCTGAGGAACTGGCTGGGCACTGATCTGGAAGATGGTGAGCAACTACCTTTGCATCCATCGCTTGTTCTCTTTTCTTCTTCACTTAGCAAACAATTCTGCAACACAAAGTTTTTTTGCTTTATTCCTTTCCTCAGCCCCATCCCTCTAGGGGCACGGTGCTTAGCTCCCTCCTGGGGGGAGCCCACAACAGCAGCACTCAGCCACTGGGCATCAGTCCTGTGCTTTGCTTCCACAAAACTGCCAGTCGTCTTTCCTGCTGGGCAGATGCAAACAGCTCACTGAACACAGATGGGTTTTCACAAGGAAGTATTTCAGTTAAACTGCAGAAATAAACTGAGGCTTTGCAGTGTCAGCTGTTAACAAATGACTCCCTAGCTATCCCTTATTAATAACTTTTAAAATCAGTTTAATACTTAAAAATGTGCAAGAATGTTTACCTTTATCTGTATATCGTGAAAGAAAAAAACAGTAATTTTAACTGATGAAAAAGCAGCAGCAATTTGGACTCCAGGTAGAATGCTAAAGTTCCTGCAATAGGTGGTGGGAATCAAAGACTATATAGGTTGTCTTGAACTATGAAACCAGAATTGCTAACTATCAGAACAAGATAAAGTTCTGAATTACTATCTGCTGAGTTTTAACCAAGTTCTAGCAATGCACAGCATACACTGAAGTATCCTGTTTAGATGACAGTCCTGAGAAATGCAGTTTGCATTTTGATTTATGATCATAATTATTTTCAGTTGGCTAAGAAAACCTGCATGAAAGGATATGGCATACAAAGGGAGAAGAAGGGATAGGGGCCTCCCAGCAGAACAGTGGTTCTTTTGCAGCTACTGAGAATAAATCAAACTAAAATATGAGCTCAAGTAACTCTTAACAGAATTGGGATAAGCACAGTTATTTAAAGGAGTACGTGCAAAACCTCCTGCCACATCTAGAGTAATGAACATAATTCTCAGATCTGTTTTTTTGTTGGCATGAAATGTAAGCCACTAATTTTGTGCATTATTAGGAGGACGCACTTCTGATGTACATTACCAGCTCTGTAAGAACAAAAGAAATTAAACAAAATTCATGCCAGCCAGCTAAGCTGAATAAACAACTGTTTTGAAATTTGGATTCATCAGTAAGAAGACTGTGGTGGTAAGCTACACATAGCCACTTAGCTTTCTAAAATATAACTGAGTACAGGATAACATTTTTAATACCAGTAAATAATATGGGACAGATTCTATATTTAAAGTAATTACAAAGGACCAATGAACAAAGCTGCAAAGTATGTTATTCTTTGCATTGTATGCCTTCTAAACAAAGCTTAACTTTGAAATTTCCAGCACTCTATCAAACTGACCTTTAGTATTCCTAGAATTATCGCTTTATAATGAAGAACTTGTCACAAAAAAGGAAAATTAAGTCTTGTTCAATGGCAGCTGCAAAAGATGATTTGCCCTTTTGTGAAATTCTACACAACTTCAGCACAGCCTCCCTGACTGACCTTTTTGCAGCATAACCAATATGTGACTTCTCTGACATTTAAAAAATCAAGGCAGCAACAGAAACAGACTGTCTAAACTATACCTCCAACTGAAAGCTTTTAACATGTAAAATGTTAAACAACAATTAAGTCAGAAATTAGAAGTGTGTACGAAAATTAGACTAACTCTATTGCAGGGCCTAAAAGTTGAATAGAATCTTCTGTCCTTTGTCATCAACCCTTACTGTTTTAAACTGGAAAAGCAACCATCAGATGCAGTATTTAAAAGGAAGTTTAAAAAAGATCAGTTCCTCACAAAATGCAGGGCATGCTTGTTGGGTTGGGAAGACAAAGAGAAGTAGGTTTGTGTACCACTGAAAAATGAGGAGGTTCAAGCAACTGATTCATTTAAGAAAGAGGATGTCTTGAAGGAATTTTAGAAGTACTCTTTCTGACTGAAACACCCTATTTCTCTAAGTGTACAACGCTCAGGCAGTTCACAGCATCTATAAATGAAGCAAACTCAAAGCTTACATTACTTACTTTTCTTCCATTTGGAACAGATACATGAAATCCTCACTGATATGCTTGGTTATCACAGAAGCGTTGTCAGGAATGAACATGCGACGTGCTCTCAAACTCACCATCTATTTATTTGCTGAGAACATTATATATCCCTCATGCATCCCATGAATCTACGTAACCTCCTATCCAGTCCCAAATAGCAACATAAAGAATGGGCCCTATGGCTGCTGGCAACTTTAAGCGAGGACACAGAGCAATTCAAACCTTAGGTGGTTATTCCATCAGGTTTTGTTTTGTAATTAAATGCAACATTCCATGATTACCATGTGAGGATACAAAGCAACAACCAGAAAAGACAGCTACTGTACCTAGTTTGCTTAGAGAATTTTATTGGAATCCATTACGACTTTTAATTAAGAATATTCTCCTTCTCACCTGCTACAGTTTCACGCAAGTAAATTAACAACTGGGTTGGTTTCTCTCCTGCTTTTTGAATTGCGAGCATCCTGTTATTTCAGCTTTGAGCCAATTCTGTAGTCCAGAATATTCAATCTTGCTGACATAAGTTAAAAGTGCACAATATTTATTGCACAATTTATTTAAATGCTTAGAAATACGATACAATTTAATGACATTAGAATACTAATTCGAATTTGTTAAAAATGTGCAGCTGCCAGTACAAAGAGTCTTGCTCTGTTAAAATAATAGCTCTTAAATAAATACCTACAGGATAAAAAAAAATGTTTGTGGCACTTCAGTAATCAGATCATCTTCTTTTATTGCATATTACAATGCTTAGATCAATACACGCTCATCACCAGCAACAGATATGCTCACAATCCTATCCCACTTGAGGGCAAATCACCTCACGCTTTCATGAACAGGTCATGTTAGGGTGTCAGTCGTTTGGGATCCCGTGGGAACATGGAGGTCTGGCGAACATTATGCAGCCCTAGGTATAGCATAGTTACTCTTTCCAGCCCTACAACAAATGGGAAGAAAAAAAACAAAAAAAAACCCAGTATAATCAGTCAGTCTTCTGTTCAAAACTCTTAAGAAGCTACATGTAATTTATAGCCAAAGCCAGCTTCACACATAGTGAGAACAAAGAGTGATATGTACACATTAACGCACCTGACTACAGAAAGGAATGAGAACCAAAAATTACAGGTTTTACATACAGTACCTTCTGATACATTACAGGTTTCACTTGAAACCTGTACCAAGTAAAGCAATGGTACTAGAGATGCAACCCCTCTTTTGAATCACTTGAGAGTTTCAAGATGGCATAGAAAATTGAAATGAGAAGGGAGTAACTGGGAGAAATGTATCTTGAATCTGTTACAGAAGTACAGAACAAACCAGAGCTGGTACCAAGTACTTTAGAGATATTAACTGTCATAAGCAAGTACAGTAAAAAACACTCTGGGAAGCTTGTCCCAAACACTCTACAGTGCTAGCATGCAGATTCAGCAGTATGTACTCATGTTTGCTGATATCTTCAAGATAATAAATGCTTCACTAGTTGTGTTCTTTCTTCCTGCAACCTCAGAAATTATGTGCATACTGTGGAACACGTATGGACTTCCTAATCCATGGGACTGCACACACTCCAGCCATACTGGGACACCTACTAGCAGTCACACAATGCTCCTCCCTATGTTAAGGCTTTCAGCTAAACCACCTAGAAAACAGCTCATTTCATAGTGTCTTCTGCTTGGCTGATACTTGGCCTGATCTATGAGATGTGCCATGAGAAGCATTTACCCCGCAGAGGAGATGCAGCTTCATTTTCCTTGATTGCAGCTGTGACTGGCCTAAATGATCCTGGATTATCTGCAAGTGCTGATGACCACTGATGCTAACACCTTTTAAGTATTTCAGAACAGCTGTTACTCAAAAGTTAAGATATTTTAAAATTATTTATTTCAGTATATAAAATACTCACACCCAAGACAAGAAGCCAGTAGACATCAGTTCTTTTGCTGAAATGATTACCATCAGCCAAAGTTGACATTCAGTCAAATCACAGCAAATAAAGACAGAAGCAATCACTCTTTTTTTTTTCCTTACTACACAACAGCTTCATCAAATGTGCTGAGATACCAGTGACGTCTGGTATTATTAAGCTATGATATCCATACATACATGCAGTATTTTCTTGCTTAGTTTTTCTTCTTTGATCAAATTTGAAGGTAATCTCCCAGGTTAATAAATCAACATATTTTCAATGGTGATCACCTACCCTTTAAACTTGTCAGACTGTATCATTAATATTTAGTCTAACTAATTTATGATGATGTTTACAGTTTTATCTTCTCTCCCTAAACTCCCTCTGATAATCAGTTCACACACTGACCTTCAAAGACCACTGCTTGCAATTGTATAATCAAACCCTGCTTGGGACCAAGTTGAAGCTAAAGCCAGGCTAACAGCAAACAAAATAAAATACATAGACTTACCTATTCCACCACCAGCATGTGGAGGTGCACCAAATCGAAAGGAATCGATATAAGCCTTTATTTTCTCCAAATCTAGAGAGGAAAAAGCATACATTTCTCATCTGTTTAATGAACCCCAAGCCAACACACAAGTGAATACAGGACTGCATGCACAATAAAATATTTACCAAGCTAATTTAAAAACTAACAGTGGGTTTCGGTCATTAAACAGATTTAAGTTATCCAGAACAGTCTAGAAGTTATATCCATAACAGTTTCATTCTATTATTTTGTTAATAATTTAATTAGGTAAGGAATTGTATAACTGAGGCCTAACTCCTCATTCTAACTTATGGGAACTGCTGACTTCTTGAATAAGCTGCAGTGAGTAGTAAGGATTTAGCAATCTATTTTTCCCTCTTGCTATGCTGGAAGATACTCCTTTTATCCAGCTACCTTCTTGACACTTCACTTTGTCATCCACTGAAAGCATAATTTCAATCTATATCTTACACTCCTGATTTTCACCTAATTTAGATTTCTACTCTTTTACCATTACCATTACCTGTTGAGTCTTCTTTTCCAAAAACAAAAACATAAAAATCTCCACTTCTTGCTTATTTGCTCTCAGTTCAAGATTTAACAAGTGATAACTAATTCTGCCAAAGTACTCCATAAGAAGTTTGGGGGAACATAGAGGCATGGAAGAATACAACTTGTCTACCCCCATTCAGTAGCAGGTATTTCCTGCATTACGTCCTCTCAAAAGCCCTTGGAAACAATCCCTTCTCTCAGAGCCTTGTTGGGAAACCAGTTAGTTTGTTAATCCCACCACTCTATACTAAAACAGTTATACAGCATTGACAGATTAACGTTATGCATGAAACAGTATCATAATTTTAGCATTATTGTCACACATTAAATTCTGCTCCAAATTCTTCCTCTAAATTAAACAAATCCAATCATGATTTACAATCTTTTAAACAAAGCTTCATGTTGTTTAACTTGTTACCAATGCCATGATGCTTGGCTCTTTCTGTCAGCAGCTGAGGATCATGAATTCTCTGAGCTCCAGACAAAATCTCTTCCCCTCTCATGAACATATCATAGGAGTTTGAGTTTTTCTGGAAAGACAAGTACCAGTTAATTTCATATCTACACTTACTCCATCCTTAGGGAGCAAACACATATCTCTCAATAACTTCATTTATGATATCCAGAGCTATGTAGTAAGAATGCAATGTGTGATCTGCCTTAGAATTGTAGTATACTGTTTTCTCTCATTAGTCTGGAGATGATTATTTTTTAAAAACTGGAGTTCACACTCACACACTTTAAAAAAAGGTTACATTTACACGTATTTACCTCACAAAAGATGCTGAAAGATATTTATGCTGGATTTTGGAATAAACTGGGCAAGTTTCTATCAATGTGAAAAAAATGTATTTCTACTTAATTATCTGTTGCCCTCAAATGTTTTTGTCTTGTTTTAGTGATGGCAGCACAGGAGATCTCTTCTGGTGACCATGGAGATCTCTTCAAAAAGCTCCCTCAACTTCAGCCTGTTTGCTTTCTGGTATGTTTTTCACTGGTGAAGGGTCACTGCAAACACTTTATAGGCCATGTAGCACTGACCTACTCTTGTTATTAGCTTAACTTCAACTACAACAGAGGATCATACTAAAATACTTTATCTACTTTGTCAAATTATACTGGACACAGAGTAATCTCAACTTAAAAAAAAAAACAACCACTGTCAACAAAGAATTTTACTTACAGGATTTACAGGGTCTGGCATTGTATAAAAAGGCCTCACAGCAAGAGGGTATTTGTCTAGAATATAGAAGTCTGTGTCATACTGAAAGACAATTATTTCAAAAAGTTACTGCAAGTGAAAAGGATGTAAAGAACAAATTACAAGAGGAAAATACAACCAATCTACCTTTGAAATCTTAAAAAAAAATTTCAAGCAACTGCACAAATTTGACAGTATTATCTTCAAAAATATGACACAAAAAAGCAATATGTTACCTTTGTTTCCCAACACTAACACTTCTGTGAATTTAAGAATGTTTAACAGTAAAATGTCTTGCCAAATTTTGTTGTTGATTTTTTTCCCCCAATGATATCATCTTTTTCTAAAGATTTAGACAGTATCTGGTTTGCTTTGATTTTTGTTTATTTGTTTGATTTCTAATTCTCCTACAATCTGTTTTTTTTGAAAGCACTACCCTGCTTGGTGTACTCAATAGTAAAATCCATAAAAGACTGAAAATGGTTTGAAAGAGATTATGAAGAGTAAAGATAAAAACGTTGGTTGATGAAATAAGCTACAGCAAAATGGGAATGCAGTCAGCCAATTAAGACATGCTTCACTGATCACAAACCCTTCACAACTTCTCTATATTGATACTGTTTCCTCAGTCAGTGCATAAAAAGTTATTTTACATGAAGGAGGCATTCATATCTACTCAATGATTCCATGACATCACGCTTCCGATTCAGTGAGAAACATATTGTAAAGTAACAGTTACCTTTTCCTTTACCAGACGTCCCAGGAGCTTTTCATTAGGTGTGCTGAAAAAGATTCTCACCATTAGAATAATGTGACTGAAACTTTTACTCATTACATACTTCATAAAAACAAGTTCCTTTTATCCTTGAAGCTCCTCTCACTTCATGTCGCAAATTATTTTCTTTTGACCTCAGAGTTTATATGGACAGTCTAGAGTACAAGAAATGTCTATTTTCATATCCATTCAATTATTTATGAAGAGATATGGACACAAGCACCGTTTATTCCTCTCAAAGAGAATCTTTCTACACAGCACAAAACTTACACCTTCCTACCACTTTCACAAGATCGAAACATTTGTGTATTGCCAACGTACCTCAGATCTTCTTCATCCCCCATCTCAACGCCTGCCTCCCTAAGCATGGCCACAGCTTCGCAGTATTCCAGCCTCAGAGTTGGCTCCAAAAACTTAAATGGCTCACATGGGAACTGTTTGTTCACCGTCTGAATTTCAGTTTGGAATCTAAATACAAGAGAACAAGAACAGAAGCAAAATGCAAAGTAATCAAGAAATGTGCACTTCTTGTATATAACAATCATTTTGCATCAGCAATACAATTCTGCCACAAGAGGTCCCTCTTGCAATATAAAAACCTATTTTATTTTGAATTATCTCCTGGAGAAGTTCTGTATAATCCTAATGAAATGTTTCATCTAAGTTAATGCAATCTACTTCAATGATATACAGGTTAATATTTTACTACCACTTCTGTTTTATTCCTTTCCTAAGAAATAATTGACCAGATCAAATTTTCACAGTAAAACCAACCAGAAACCATCCCTTTGATTTGTAACATTTAGCTAGGTTCTCCTTTGACTCAAGTAATGCTCTGTTTTGAATATAGAAATTTCTTTGAAATTTCTTTTTCAGATTGATAAAAGATAGGCATTTCTACTGGCAAGATACTCCATTTTGTAAGCAAATGAAAACTACTTCCTAAACTTCTGGCTTGTTTTATTAACAAGTTAGGAGTGTGAATAATGGAAAATAATCTTTGCTGCTGTCATGGCAGAGATGCAAGCTGTTACAGTAAATTTCCTTCAGGAAAGCTATTTTAAACAGTTAAGATTAATTTCAAAACAGAACAATCAGTGGACCTGTAGTGGCACAACAGGAAGGATATCTTACACTAATGATGGAGCATTTCTATGAGAAAGCCCATTCAACAGTGAACATCATTTTTGTGTTGCTAGCTGGCATACTGTAGAAGATGCAACTGGGGCATAAAATAGACAGTTTACTAGCGTTAGTGAACTTCTAGAGTCAGTTACAAAGGAACAGTTAAGAGCAAAGCAAACATGTTTGAAATTCCCTTTTTGTAGATCAGATTACTAACGATTATCTGACAGGCTGAGGATGAAATGCTCACCCATTTGATACCACAGTGCAAGCGAGCTCAAACAAATGAAGTTGCTCATGAAATGGAATGTGTTTTTGTTACCTCTCCTGAAGTCCCTTGAATATCTGCACCAAGGTGTCTGCAATCTCATCTACCACTTCATGATAGTGGTAGTTAAAAGCCATTTCAATATCCAGACCAACAAACTCAGTCAGGTGTCTATGTGTATTGGAGTCCTCAGCTCTAAAAACTGTAAAATTAAACAACAAAAATTCCAACTGACCTGAAATTGTAATTCCATTTTGAAACAGTAACACAGATGATCAAGCACACCAGCAATTAGACAAGACAACGCTGTCTCTAGACATGACAATTCTTATTGAAAACAAGAAAGCTTGTTGCCTCAAAGCATCGCTCATAACAAACAGTAACAGCATTATTGTAGCCGTGGTGGACAAAGGGTACAAGATAGTACCTCTCTGCCAGTCTTGTCTATCTCTTGTCAAACCAACAGATAGAAGAGGAAAAAAAAAAAAAAAACAGACAAGTTGCCAGGCACACAAGAATTTCCAGATTTGAAAACTACCTTTTTCAGAGGCAATGGACTTCTGCACATGTGAGCTGGTTCTTTTTCAGGTATAAGACTGATATAAACATGCCTTCCTACAAAACCATGACTCTTGTGTTAGTAATTAACAAGTCATTTAAAGGCCTGAGTTACTTGCATCTTTTTATTTATAAGCTGTTACTGTGTTTTCCAGCATTTCTATCTTAAATGTCTCTAAACCTGTTCTCAAGGTCTAAGAAAAAGTTGCTGCATTACTGCCTAAAAGGGCAATGTCCTATTAGCTTTTGAGGAAGGGTGTGAGAGAGGAAAGTAATCCATTTGGATTCTTTACTGACAGCCTGGTGAGACACATGCATTTTCCAAACAATGCTGTTTGGTACATGTACAGGAGAAAGGGACAAATCCTTATTAATGCGCATCAAATTCAGCTTCCCTGTTTTAGCTCCTTGCTACTGCAATGGCTTTGGTAATTACAGCGCTCTTCAAATTTTGCTAACTCATATTATAATTTCCAGTGCAACTCTCTTCTTTCTTCTCACAGAATAAAAAACTCCCTCATTTCAGCATCTTAGTTTTGTTCCAGCAACCCCCCTGTCAACTTCATTCTCGTTAGTTGCCCCAACTGAAATTTGTGTTTATTAAGTGAAGCTATAGTTAGTAGAAGCATTCAAAGCTTTCGAGATAGATGTTACTTTGCTTTTGCCACAACTGCTAAAAGCCACCAATGTCATCTTTACAATTTGGATAAAGTAATGCTTTTCTTACCTGGTCCAACACAAAAAACTTTCTCAAAGTCAGCACATATACACATCTGCTTGTACAGCTGTGGGGATTGAGCCAGGTAGGCGCTGCTTTTGAAGTATGATACAGTAAACACATTGGCTCCTCCTTCGCTGGCAGCTGAAAAGCAAAGCTTACAGTGGTTATTAAAATGAAATATTAAAAAAAAAAGTTAGAGGTAGACTGACAGACTTTTATATTGAAAGATAAGGAAAAAAACACGTTAAAAGAAAAAGATAAATTTGCAGCATTAATGCCAAGGCAAGTTTTGTGGCTCAGGACTATCAGACACTGTCTTGCAAACCTGCAAATTGAATTGGGGTAGCTAGAAATGTTAATATTCCCAGCCATCCTACGCTTTAGGGTGAAGGCAGCAGAGAATGCGTGTTTGTACCACCACATCTACTTGCAGTCCACCATTTCTGTGGAAACAAATCTTTATCAGTGATGTAAGCTTCAAAGACAGTTAATTGCAGAGACCAAGATCAAAGCACACTTCCTGTTTTTCCAGGACTGTCTCTCCAGCAGAGGACTGGGCAAACATCTGAAGTGTCTGAAAGCACTAATAGATCTCAGATACAAACCTGGATTTACTAGAGGACATTTGCCAAGGATACAAAGCTATCTCCCAGTTTGAGACAATTATCATAGTCACTGAAAGAATGCTAGCCAAGAACACATGCTCCCACTTTGAATGAATCCCTCATAGTAAACAGCCTACCAAAATTCACTGCACAGTTCCCAGTGTATGAAATGACAGTGAAGTTGCCTACCATACTTATAAAAACACGTCAGAGTGAAACAGTAATTCATAGTTGTTAAAGATTCTTACGATAACACTATGTGCTACTTATAATTACTGACAATTCCACTGCAATTAATCTTCCTTCTCTTTAATTACCACTACTCCCACTGAAATAACATCACTGACTACTCAGTTGTGAATAGAGGTTAACACTGAAAATCTCAACTTGTAAAACAGCTATAACATGAAAATTTGAAATTTAGTAAAGAACTGCATCCACTTGCTAATTCTGCAAAACTTGTCAAATTCTCTCCTTCAAAAAATAGGATGCTTGCTTGCTTTCAATAGTACACTGTACAGAAAGAGCAGCACACTTCCTCAAAGGTGCTACACAAATAAACTACTTGGGAGCCTTCGTGCTATTTCACCAGCATCTGTAGGAAAAGTTACCTAATCTTACAGATTAATGACATTTTCCATGTTGTAAGAATAGTTGCTTGCATGTACTTTGTTAAAAAGTCCTAGTTTTAGCTCAATCAAGAGGTGTCTTCAAAAATATAAATACAGAGGTATAAAATCCTCACTGAAGAAAAATGCATATCATCAAGCATTTCGTGTTTAACTAAATTAAAGCTTTAAATGCACTGCAGAGTACAAAAATCAGGTGTAAACAGCATTTGTCTTGTTCTTTCAACACTTGAAGTCAGGAGAAGAATAAAGAACAACCTTGAGACGCGCTTTGTTTGCTACGTTGTATCAGAATTAGAAATAGTTTCTAAAAGAAAAAAAAACATTTGTCAGATAGGTTCACTGAGCAAATATAAAAGCAGCAGATCTGAAGCTTCTGGATCAAAAATACGTTACCTGAAATGATTTTGGGGGTCTGAATTTCCACAAATCCCTTGCGAATGAGAGTTTCTCTAAAAAGCTGACAAATACCAGACTGAAGACAGAAGACTGCTTGACTGGTGGAAGTCTGTAAGGGAAAAAAAATAATGAAACCTAAGTTAGTTTAACTCTTCCCCACTCTGTTACTTCTTATGGACAGCTGGGAGGATACATCTCTTCTCTTAGGAATACTTGGCTTTTGTATTTGCCTGAACAGAGAAAAATGCACACATAATTATTTATTACAGAAAATAAACAATACAAAAAAAAAAGAAAAGAGAAAAAACAGCAAAGGAAGCAACAAAAATTCCTCATTTCAATTTGCAGCACATTCAGTTATTAAGGATATGCTTCAGTCAACCCAACATTTAACCAGTCACTGATTTGTAAGTTTTGCTTCTGAAAATACAGATCTCACAGTAAGAAAATGAGTAAGACGACTAAATCTATTACAAACCTTTCAGCACACTGAACTAGAACCACTGCAGTAATACACAATGCATAACAGCAAAGCCCACAGTTTGTACGAGGTCAGAATGTTTGTGCCTACTAAAGAAGTAGGAAATGCAATGTTCTTCATGTACAAAACACAGCCCTATGCTAACTACCTAAACTGGGGCCACAAAAACGATCTCAAAAGTGTGTGTGAAAGCTCAGCAGCATTTACAACCATTCACATAACTTCTGATCATACAGACTACAAATTGCTTTTCAACATTTATTCCAGATACACATTTGGCCAAAAAACTCACCAATTCAGGTTTTATTTGCTGATGTATGTGACACAGTTAAGTCACTTATCTGGTTAACAGCTACCTGTGCTCAATGTTCCTGTAACACACTTGGGTTTTAGTGTGAAGAAAAAAAAGCAAGCAGCTGTGGCAGATGCTGAAAACATCACAATACATCAGCACTGAACTCATATCTGATTTTGTGCTTGCAGTGTTTAAGAACTGGCAGTCAGCAACCCACAAGCACACCTAAAAACCAGCAAGTTCTCATAAGAAAACTAAGACAACGTTTCTTTACGACAACCTGCGTCACAGCACTGTTTACTTCTCTTTTCTGAAAGGTATCCAGCTTTTCTCTCAGGGTAAAGAGAACCTCGTGGGCTTTTTCACATGACTCTTACCAAACCACAAAACAAAAAACCCAGTCAAAACAGTATATAAGCACCCAAATTTAGACAGTCCGCCAGTGAATATGTTGAAACAAAGCTACATTCAACATCTCCGGAAGATGAAAAATATTCCCTAGCTGAAAAACTGAAAGAGAAAACATTTTTAATACTGCAGATTTGTAGTAATTTGGAATGATTTGCAATTAGAGCAGACAAAGTACTACAGAGCACAAGTGGTTGAGATCAGTAAATAACTGCCAGCAGTTCTCACTGTCTGACAGCAGTAACCACAGCCACTATTCCCACTAGTTTCAAAATTAAGGAGAAGAGGTTATGAGCAACAAATACAAAAGTACCCTCGAACTCTCACCATTCTTCCACAGATGTTGCAGGGTCAACCATACGCCAGGATAAGAAACTTAGCTCCAGTTCTTTATATGATTTGGCAGCGCTACACCAAAATGCCCCACCAATTCAAAGCCACAGATAGACACATACTTCTACTCATATGCACACATATATACGTTTTTGTTGTTGCTTTTTCAACCCATCTCCTACCTAGAAACGTGAAGAGACTTCAGATTATCCAGTCACATTTAGGTTTACCAGAATGGCTTTTGATAAACTCGATCAACTTCAAAAAATGGTAAGAAAAAATTGCACAACATTCATTTGAAGTGAAGTAGTGACAGTGACTCCTTGTCCTTCTGATGAACCAACACCAGTTTGATGCCTGAGTAGGTAAGAATGTAGTCCTAAAATACACACTCTAGTGAACAAAAGAAATGGTATTTCAATCTGAAAGCAATTACTTGCTATGAAGTCTGAAAGTGTGCAGAGTCGACAACTAATATATACCTACTAACAACAGTTTGTGAGCTAGCATCTCCCCCCCTGCTTTAGTGAGGATGCAAAGAAGCAGCTGCCATCCTCTGTACCTCAAATTAGACCTGACAAAACCACTCTTCTTACTACCAAAGCTAACAGAGCTTCAGTGCCCATCCATTCAGAGACTGCCAACAAGCATTGAATATCTGTGACACTGTGGCCTCCCTGTAAGAATTAGACAGGCCCACATGATCTCAGATCAGCTCCTAAACAACTCCAACTGTCAGCGTGCAGTGCAGACAAGTGGAGGATCTCAAAAATTCTATGTGCAACTGTAACTTTTCAAAGATTTTAAAGTTGATTCTGCATCCATACAAAACAAAGGTTTCAAATTTAATTGTGTCCTTTGCAGTGAAACGTTTAGGACAAAAAGGGACTGAAGAAAACCATTCAAGGCAGCAAACTAAGGCAGCTGTGAAAAATGAATACACATTTTTAAACATCTCAGCCCTCAACAACATTTCAGTATGTTCACTGTATTGTTCACTCTTACAAACTCTTCCATTCATATACCAGAAAATTCTTGTTTAAGACAGCAGCAAATTCACTAAAGTCTTCAAATGCAAAGCAAAAACTGAAACAAACATATGCCACTTAGATGTTGCTGTTTAAACTTACAGACTTTACAGGAAAACTCATTATTTCTAATAATTACCCCTTGTCACAGACAGCAGAAAAAATATTTAGCTAACAATGTTGCAATACAGGAGTAGGCTGTAACTTCATCTCATCTCACCTGTGTGTTTGTTACATAAATGCAACAAAGGAACATACTATTAGAACACAGCACTTTAACACTTGAAAATTATGAAAGAAAATAATTATGTTCTGTGCTATGTATTTAGCACAGTCAGCAGCATGTAAACTGTAATACCCGCATAAGGGGCCAGACTGACAAATGTATTTCAATAGAACTGAAGGCATTTCACACCTTGAGATCCTATCTCAAAGAGGCCCAATGAAGATGCAAACAGGCAAAGCTGCAAACTTCTTTTCCCTCTCACAGTTCTAACACCTCACTTTTGTTTTTTTTGTTAACCCACATAAAGTAGGCTAAATAAACAAGGAAATGTCAACTACATAACTTTAAATAATACACAATAATTCGATAACAAAGATAATTTTGCAAATTCTGTATCACAGGTATGAGACATGAAGTTCTTGCTAGGCAACAGGATTTGCCTTCAGTACCAATTTATGCATTCCAGATTGACTGAAATCAATTGTTTCATTCAAATTCAGTATTACTTTATAGTACAAGTGGAGAACACAAAGTGTCTTGTTGAAATTTTTGGGACTGTGTTATTTCAACACAACAAAATTACTACAAAGTACAGCAAACAGTGTAACTGGTTATTACAGCTTGAAGTCAGTCAGAACACCAACAGCTTTTGCAACAAGTAAATCAAATCGAACACAATTAAATCAAGCTTAAAGTAATCAAGTCATCAAGACAAAACTGCATTAAGATCAGTGTACATATAACAATCTGACAGCCATGAGCTACTAGAAGTACACTTTAATGGTTATGCACTACCCTAAGCAGTTTAAACAAGATAATATTGACTCTAAAGGACTATGCTTTGGTCACAAAGATCTGTGCATTAGCAGACATAATTATAGAATCAGGACTGCTGAACACATATAACTCAAGTCAAATTTGGACAGATGCTATTAAGATAAAAACCCCGCTGGACATCAAAAAATAAACCAGAGCAAGGATATCAGCCAGGTCTATTGCTGAAACCTGACGAACCTCCATTGATTTTTTCTTCAGAGCAAGATACACTAAAAAGCAAGATCCAAAAAAATCAGTATTTCACATGTTGGCTTATCTTTACTGCTTTACCTTCACCACAGGTCCTCATGAAATATGATCATTTAACACTTTCTTTAGGTGTTTTTACATATATGAAAAGTCTACCTATTGCTGAATACTGCAGTTATCCACAGCAGAAAGGCAGAAATTTAGAAACACAATCAGTGCTCCAATTGCCTTTTTGAATTGTGCCAATAAATGATTAGTTAATCAAACATATCTAGAATAAAATACATTTACATTCATTATATCATTAAAAATAGATATTCAGGTCAACAGCAGTTTTCTTACAGTCACCTACAGACACGTGAAACAAAATCTCATCTGTACAAGGACTCTCAACTTTACATCCCCAATTCTTCTACTCCAAGGAGTGTAGGATCTGTATTTTAGGAAGTAATGGATCAGGAATAGATTCTTCATAAATCATCATTCCTCAGAAAGGTCTTTAAAAAACCCCTACCTTAAATAATAATAACTTTCTTGAACGCATTTAGAGCAACAGCTATAGCAATAGCTTGGGATTTTGGCATTTTAGTACTTCCAATCCCTACCCTCAAAAACACCTGTAGGAGATTTGACAGTAACCAAAATGCAAGACTGTGCATATGTGAATTCCAGAAGTACAAAAGAATTGAAATCTTGAGGTCTCCGTAGAATATTTTGCACATTACATCCACCAGGATATTTTCTTTTTTTCCCTTTTTACCCCACTATATTTTTCTTGTTATTAACCATACTCATTCCACTATTCTACAATTAAACTCTCTCCCCAATATCCACCAGAGCTGGATGGAGCTATGCTATTTTTGAAAACCCATTCTCTTTTCTTCATGCAAGATCTGAGTTCCACAGCTCCACTTTATCACGATTTCACCCTAGCCAACAAACTCTTTGGTTAATTACTGAAGTTAGTTACATCACTATGGAACTACTTCAAAGATTCTATTTAAATGGACAAACCTAATTTTAGTTCTATATTAAGATCTTTTTTTGGTTCTACATTTACTTCTTTTTTAAAATCAAAGTCTCTCAAAGGCCTCTCAAAGGCCTCTGCATTTCATTTGTTAAATCTGTCTCCAAAAAAATCAGTATCTTTATTTTTGATACTCAATTAGCTCCTTCTTCCTTAAAAAAAACAAAAACAGGTCACTGAGGAAACCCAAACTAGATGGTACAGAATGTGGTTGGGACTTCCTCCCATACTAGTAGGAACAGATCATCACAGCAACTCCATCAGAACTATTCTGATCAAGTTTCACTTCAGTCCAGTATATATTCAGTCTGTCTTTTATACAGAGAGAGAATTAAGGTTCAGAACTCAAAACAAAAGGCCAAGCATTGCAGAATGAATGGTGCTCTGGAACATATAATACTCACATAAAACTGTACAATTTAGGAAAGGTTACAGCAGTATTCACTTAGCTCACCAGTTGTACCCTCCAGCTCGACTGGTGACAACTTATTTTCTATGACTACGTTGGCAGAGATGTGCATGTGAAGAGTCACGCGAGACTAACAGATACGTCCAGGCAAATCCAGTACTTGATCTAGTAAGTGATCTAGGAGTTGGCAACTCTGCCGGCAGCAGGAGGGCTGGAATCTGATGATCCTTTTGAGGTCCCTTCTAATCCAAGTCATTCTATAATTCTATTTGACTCTACAAGAATTTTAGCCCATCTCTTTGTTTCATGTCCTGTGTATATTCTGGCATTGCATGTTTTTTTGGTGTGGTTTTTTTTTCCCCCTTTCCTATTTACCTTCCCAAGTTTTACTCCATAGATGCTCTCATCTTAATTACTTCCACACTATTACTTTCAGGTTGTATTTTAACTGTTATTTCATTTTCAATGACTCCTCCCATCCGTTCAGGGTTCATACTTCTTTCCAACTTATTATACACATATTTCATTCACTTAAATAATTTTCTTAAGTTTCTCCGCTGTGCTGTTTAGAATTTTTTGGCATAATCAGAAATTCACACAACACTTGAACTTGTAACAGTCCAGAGTTCTCCCTTCAATTTAATGCACTGCCTTACCATTACTCTAAGCTGATGATTCTTTAATTCTCACTAGTAGAGAATTCTTTTCATCAAAAACTTCAAGATACAGATGAAGAGACAAGTACAGTGAGATACTGAGTGTCTTGAAAAGTAATCACAAATTGAAGCTGCTCAGTATCACATATGATAAGGTCAAGTGAAAAGCCATTATATCTTTGCTCCAAAAGAAACAATTTGCACAAGTAGTTTTAATTGCTGAAATAATATCAGATATTCAAATGCTTTAAGCATCTCTGTGCCAGAACTTTTCCAGATTTTCCAGTTAAAAAATGATCTTTTTGTTTTACTTCGCAGACCCACAGCTTGGTTACTGTGAAACTATCATTATCATTACTTCAAAGGCAGGACTAAATACACCAAAAAAAGAGCTAAATATACTCTTCATTTAGTTAAAACAGTATTATGGAGAGTCAAGTAGGGGAAAAGACAAAAGAAAATAATGTCAAAAAGATTAAAGATAGCTGACTACATACCCATTGTTGAATTCAAAACTTCCATCTTACGGATCTAAGCTGAACTCTTACAACACTCTCTGGATATGAAATACTATATTTGACAAGAAATACTGCCTACAAGTTATCCTTATTCAGTCACCTTTCACTTTTGGAAATAAAAAAACGGTGTACATGGCCATATGCCAAATCCTAAACATCCACTTCATCTACTAATATGTGTGCTCTGATGCACTCACACATTGAAAAATGTTGTTCAGCTTTGGCCAGCAAAACACTTCCACCAAATTCAAGGCTTTTACTGTTCCACGGATTAGGACAGTGAACAACTGAACACTTGGAAGTAAACAGACAACAAATCTCATTCCTTACCCTCAGATCAATCACTCTGTTGTCCAGTCTTGTATCTTGGTTTACAGTAGCTCTTCCATCCTAAACAGTTGTGCAAAAATACATAATGAATATATACACACTTAAAAGGAAAGTATTGGAGAAAAACATCATTTGGATAAAGGTCAAGGGATACTTCTAACTTCAGATTTTCTAGATTGGTCTGAAGAACATACAACAGCAAGTCTTAAGCAACGACTTCTCCACTGTCACAGGCCGGAATCAGCTATGAAGGCCTACAACACGTCAGACCAAAAGCCCACTGGTTCTGACCTAACGCTGCAGTTCAGCAGAAATCAGATCTGTAGAAATTTCTAATACAGCTCTGGAGAAACATAATGGAAATAAATACAATGGAAGCTAATAATGAAATAATAATGAAAGCTGAACATAACAAAAAAACAAAGCCGCTGTATGATGGAAGCTGCCAGGCTTTTGTACTTTTCTTCAATTACAGATATAATAAAACGTATTTGATATGCAAAGTTTTCACCTCCTCGCCTTCCACTTCTGGCCGAACAGCATCATCCAGCTGTAAAGGGAGTCGGGGTTCAGCTAAACTGATCACATAGATCTGAAAGCGAGATAGAACAAAAATAGCATGCTACTCAGCTCAAAAGAAGGTGTGATTTACAATAGGATATTTCTGGCATAAACATGAAACAGTGTTTGCATAGGCTGTTAGCTGGAAAACTGATTTTCTTCTAAAAGTCAACTGACTTGGGTGCAGTCTCATGATAATATTGGAAACGCTTAAATCTGACTTCCTTTTTCAAAGATTTTTTTTCCCCTTGGAAGCAGAAAAGTATCAAGTGGAACAAGTACAGGCTGCCTGAGGGACAAGCCCACTGCCATGAATGCAGGTCTGAAACCATTAGACTTCACCATTTTAGGTTCTGATTGCAGCAAGTGAATCTCAGTCTTTTTGTTGTTCAAGTACTGTTTTACTTACCATCTGATTGAATTTGAAGGAGCTATTTCAGACTAAGAATTTATGAGGCAGATAAAACACACTGAGAATGCAAGACACCCAGCTCTAAGGCCTTGTCATAGCTACAGCTCATTTCATGTTCTTTTAAAAATCAAGCATTTGACAATTTGCACATATATTTCTTCAAAATCTGCACATTGTCACAGTGCTGTTGGCTAAGATTTACCTTCCTAGAACTATAACAGCCACTTTACTGCTGAGGCAACTGTGTTTCCGCAGAATTGTTCTGTGTAATGGCTTTAGAAGCAAACAAAGGTTTAAATACATATTCTGTTAACCAAATTATAAAGCTGCACTTCCTCCAGTCCTGCAATACAAGCTATGGAAACTTTAGATTTCAAGAGCTTCCATATTGGCAAGTCAGTACTTTACCTCTGCTGGGAATACATTCCATTCCATTTCACTAATGGGAAGACAGTAACTTCACAAAAAAAGAAGAAACTTTTTCTCATTGCACCTAAGAAGTGGCTGACTTCTTATTACAGTACCTGCTGCACCTAAGAATTACAAGCATTCCTAGCCAAATTGATCCAGTGAGATTAATTAACTTGTTAGTATATTTTAAGTGACAGCTAAAATCAGGAAATACTAAAAATCAAATACTTTAGAAACAGGAACATCTCATGTTTAGTATAAGAAATAGAAATGTGTAGTTTAAAGGAGTTTATTTCTCTGGTACTGGACTACAAAGTTTATATATGCAGAAAGACAGACAGGCTAAATAGATAGATAACCCCAGACAGTGTTCAGTTTGCTTAAAAAATTACCCTTTGAACATGCAGCTCAACATCTTGCTGAGTACAACCTCCGATTTTCTGATGTGCTTTCCTCACAACGCCTTCTACATCCACAATGCTCTCTTTGTTGATGCTGTCAATAAAGATAGTAGCCTTACTAAATTTCATTGCATACTGCACAAGATTCAGTACTTAGCACTAGCACGTATATGTACTGTATGGACTGCTGGAACAACAAAACAGAGTTAAGAATTTAGATATTTATTACACATAATCAATGAACGAATAAAGGATGTCACTAAAACATCACCAGCCACAATAAATTCAGACTGGGATGGAAGACTTACAAGGGAAAGAATTATAATTAAGCTTAGTAATTGCTCACTGTGTGTGTATACATAAACTGACAAGTTGCATAGTTCTTTTTCTAGGCCACAATCACTCTTGCATGTGTCAGCTGACACAATTATCTGAAAGATGGGTCTTGAACAGCAGAACAACAAATTGAAAGGAAGTCCTAGATCTAGAGGGCAAAAAAAAACTGATTGAGTTTGTTTAAACTACATGACTTGTTATTGAAATATGCAAGATGCTTCTAAGTCAGTTCTTTAAAACATCTTAACTGCTCTCCTCTAACAGTCATTAAGACTCTATTAAATCCTTATGTAACATCTTTAAAATCTTCCAACAGTATGATAGAAGGTATGTGTGTTATAAGCAAACAGTAACAAAAGTCTTGAGAGTGATAGATGAAAAATAAATCATAAGAGCAACTTTCATTTAGGTACTGTAGAAAATCACTGGTTTTAAATCCTGTACTTCATGTAATTGTGTCTCTACTGGAGATACAATTTCTCTTTGTCAGCCTGCTTACAAAAGGCAAAATAACAGAAAACACTTCTTTCCTCTTTATGAAAAGTAAGTTACAATTAACTTTATCTTTCATTTCTCAGGCATCCTTGAGATGACTGGAAAGCACTTCATGTACATCACTTGACCACGTAAGTCCTTCAAAAGCAGAACAGGAGGCCCATAATGCAGCCACAAACAGTAAGAGGCAAGCAAACCCCAAGCTTTTTCCAAAAGCCAAATTAGAAGGCAGTAGGATAAATGTTTTAATGCACAGAATTCATGAGCACTAATCCCCAGTGAAAGCAGAGAAAGGCAGAGTTGCAAGTAGCTGCAAGCTTCTGCTGGTGGTAAGTACAATCCAAATCACTTACATCTCCATTAGTTTATCTAGCACTTCCCAGAGTCACTCTAAGAGCTGTGAGTAAAACCTAGATATTCTAAACTGACGGCCTTTTTGTACAGCTACACTGAAACCACAAGAAACTCATTAGGATTGAAAGGCTTCTTTTTAGAAATATCTATGTTTGGAACTAGTTTCTCTCTCACTTTTCTTCTTTTTTTTTTTTTACCCAGTCAAACAATGAAGTCTATCTTTTCAGCTGTTGAGAGAAACTTGGCTTTCATCTCCAACAAGCCTTTGTGGTATGACCCAGAAGAAACTGAGATATGAACACTAAGTGCTGCACAGTATGCCTACTAGCTTATTCTGTGTTCTATTACGCCTGATGCATCATAGAATGGCTTGGGCTGGAACTGATCTTAAAGATCATCCAGTTCCAACCCACTGCTGTGGGCTGGCTGCCCCACCAGCTCAGGCTGCCCAGGGCTCTATCCAATCTGGCCTTGAACACCTTCAGAGATGGGGCACACGCAGCCTCTCTGGGCAGCCTGTTCCAGGGCTCAGCACCACCATCCGTAGCAGCCATAAGAGACACTAAACAGATTTTTGGCTTGACCTAGAACTGCTTTATTTCATAAAGTTAAGTTTAAATTTCAGTCATTCAATAGAATTTTTGAATAAAAGTTAACAACGTTTTTAAAAAATGTGATGAAGTTTAAGTAACAGTTGCAAATTCAAGCAATAGAATTCTCAAAACTTCAAAGACTCACTAGAAATGAATCACAAGTAACTGAAAAAAAATGCCAGATTTCAGCATTTTAATTATTAGACTATTTGTTTGATGGCAATACTTTCAGGTGACAGAGCTTGTCAGCTGCTCTGAAAGATACACACACCATAGTGCTCTATATGCTTAGCTACGAAATAACTTCATAATGTATAAAACTTCTGAAAGTATGTTTTTTAAATGGGCTGCGCTTGCTCAAACTTGTATAATGAACAAAACAAAGGCCAATAATAGGCTGTAAGTCAGAAGTCATATAGTGGGGGATGAGAATCCATTCATCTCATTAAAGAAGAGAAAACAAAATCGAGAAAGACATGGAGAAATAGTGGCTGAGTGCACTCCCTCACAAACGATGCTGTTCAAAACCACTTAAAAAGATTAAGGCACAGAACACATCATGCTAAAACACTATCAGGTCTAACTACAGATTCGCTCTGCTCCTCAAATAAATCAATATTTAAAACAAGCCAAGTTTTACATCTGTGCTAACACGCTTTCTCCTCAAACAGTTCTCCACTTCCCTCACTTCTTTTTTCACCAACAGCAGCGTGTTGGTTGAAACAAAGTTCTGATTCTGCTGAATAAAGCCCTCATGCTAATAACTGCAAATACAAAAGTGTTGTAAACATATTGAAGCAAGTTCCACACATTGCAAATAATAAAAGAACTGCTAAATGTAAATGTGCTGTATGACTCAGACCACTGATGCCATGGCTGAGAACCTGTGTTAGTGAAGTCACTACAGGTCTATGATCAGAGTACACACAGAATTCAAGATATGCAAAACTGCATCACATCAAAAATACAGGAAGAAACTTCTACATCCCTGTAGCTGCAAACACTGCTTTGCAAACTTGCCTAAAACTTAAAAACTTTGCAACTGTGATTAAATATGCCTTTTTTTCCCCCTCTCTCTGGCAACTGAAACAGTATATTTCTTTGTCTAGAACACCCTTCAAAAATTCTAACATCAGTTAGTATTTTGTTAATATAATTTCACGTGTTTCAGCTCAGTTCCTACCTATACAGATACCTTTATCCAAATTTGCATAGAACTGCCTGGGCACACGTAGCACTACCAAGTTTTCTTCTGTCTATGAACATCTTTGTGTTGACAAACACTCATAATCTACTCTAAACTTTCATGTGATCAACAGAAAACACGCTTTTCCTCACTTGGACTGCACATCTAATCAAGTTTACCTGCATCACTCCTATGCAAACAAAAGCTTGTATTTTGACTTCTGTTTGAACTGAGCTCTGCAAGACCTAATGTTGGAAGAGTCCGAAATCCCTAATAATCATTCATCAAATGAACAAGGTAAAAGTGAAAACGCTCCTTTGATCCCAACAGGTAACTCTAGGAACATAACTTAAATGGTAATTTCAGCTCAAATTAGAACAAGAAAGAAGATGCTTTAATTAAATAGTGGTAACTACAGCATAATGGTTCAAAGCATTCCCAACAGTAGCAGCACAATTTTTATTTTTTTTTTTAAAGTAATTCTCCCCATGGTAACAAAGAAGAAAACGAAAAACAAAAAGTGAACAAATAGCAGAAAAACATGTCAAAGCAACCATCACTTCCACCTCCAATTAATATCACAAAAGACTTGAAAGCAAATTGGAATGTATGTTTGATCCTTAAAGGAGTTATTTTAGTAACAGATTCATAATGTCCAAAGCTAAACACCGCATAAGAAAACGTTCCTTTATATTATAATGTTCATTAAAATGAAAAATAAAAAATTCAAGACCATAAATATGAACAGATTCAGAGGCGTTACATCCCTCACATCTATGCACGTCTATTAGCCAAGACTCTTCCAACCACAGGGTTGCATCACTGTGGTTTGTATGACAACACCTTCCTGCTGCAAGCTGAACCCTTTGTGGGCCTCTCTAAAAGAATCCCAATATTTGCCTGATCGAAAGTCTGAAGAATTGGAAGAAGCTTCGTTATTTATTTCCTTTAAGTAGAAAATGATTTAATTTGTGAAAGCAGCTCCAGATATTTACTTCCTTGCCTTTTTCTCCAAGACTGTTTGATGTAAGCAGACTGCACAAATTACAATACTAATACTATACTAAGTCTAAAAGAATAAATAATTGTTATAAAATAACAACCAATAGTAGTCCATGTGAATGCAAGAAAAAATGGATGCAATACAATTTACTTTTAGAAAAGAAAGAGCTCACTTTTGAAACAGTTGAAATTACACACAGGTACTATCAGGCTGGGATTTACAGTACTGATTTGTCTTGGATAGAACAGACAGATTTCTTTAGCAGATTTACCTGACCACAAATTATTTCAGCATGCTACTTCATTATCAGCTTTCTCTGATTTGACATGTATTCAGACAGAAAGAGGACAAGATATTCCAGGAATAATCTAATCACTGGCATATATTACATTAATGGCATTTTATTCCATTTTCAGAACCTAATAACAGAGCGGAATAGAGAACTGCATGAACTCCTGTTAAGTTGGTTATCTATCATGACCCCAAGTTGCTAACTTCTTGTATTTCTGAATACTAATCTTGAACATACAGAAGATCTCAACTAAAGTTCAGCTAGAAACTCTTTGTTGTCAAACTCACAGAAATCTCTTTAAAACAGTGGTAAACCAGCGTGAAGCATCTTTCACTGAAAGAACTCACGTTCTTCAGATAATGGAGATAAATCAGTATATGAATATTTCAGTTGAGTGTGCAATGTTGTTGCTAGACCACAGAAGGTTGCGAAAGCTCCGTTTCCAGGTGCCAGTATCTAAAAGAGGAACTGGTTTATTATTTATGAAAATTTGTACAAAGGATGTTCATCATTTAATCAGCTTTTATACTACCTTAATTTTTCCTTAAAATTCACAATGCAGAAGTTCACCAGCTGCTTTAAAGAAAGTTCCATAACCACTATCCAAATATGCGAAAGCACCACAAGAAACAAAGTTCATCTTATGCCAGTGAAAAAGTTTAGTTCCCATAACTGAATGAAATGTAAGGTATTAAAGTTGAATATTTTCTTTGCTAAATGTTTATTTCCTCACGTAATGCATAGGAAACAAGAGGAGATGAGGCAGAGAAACAATACAGTTATTTTTAGATGCTGAAGATCAGCTTCATCTGCTAATAATAACAGCATCGTTCCACAGCACGTGAAAACGAGCAGGAAGGCAACCAAAGGCACAGCACACACTGTCATTGTGCTTCAGGTGGCACTGACGTGCTAACCACAAGTGCACTTGGAAGTCAGGGAAGAGCAGCCTCTGAAGGACAAAATGCAGCTGCAATGATGGCATCAGAGAGAACTGAGAAAAAGATAAAGCACTGGAAAAAGTGAGAGCGTGGAAGGATATTAATAAAGCAGGTTTGTTGGTGGGAAGGAATGACTGCACTAACAGCGTTTAAAAAAAAAAGTAACCCTCAAAACAAAACCCAAGAAGGCTGCAGCACAGAAAGCTTAAAGCACACTACCATCAACATCTAAGCATTTCAGAAGCACAAACAACAAGCAAAGCATGCATGCCATAAATCACAGTCCGCAATATCAGGATTTGTACATCAAATCCTGCCACAAAAGTCCAAACACTATACAGACATGAATCTGGCTAGTCAGAGGAAGTTTGGTCTGTCACATCAAGACAAGTAGGAAATGACAGAGAATTGGAAAGAAATTAAGAGTAAGGCTCCATCTGATGTAACAGCTCACAGCACCAGAAGGTATTTTATTAGCTTTGCCCTCTGCCTTTGCAGATATCACCTCTTGCTAGCTGTGGACCTCCATGGTGTAGTTTAAATCACTTAACCTGTCAGAATAATAATCTAGTAAAAAAAAAAAAAAAAAAAAAAAGGAGAGAGAGAGAAGTAAAACAAACAAAAAGGTCACAAAAGACAAGTGGAAGAATCAGTTCAAAGAAGAAAAGAGTAAGGACGGACTTTCTCTCTTGCAAGCTACTATGACAGATCTCTGCTGATCATGAAACAGAAACATAGGAAATTCAGCAAAGAAACATGAAGAAAACTGAAAAACAGAGATGCTTAAGAAAACTGGAGAATAGGAGAGCAAGCATCACCACTGTAAGAGTTGTTTTACTGCACTGTAATGCAGTTTGTAGAAGAGTGCATGCAGATCGATAGTAGGTTACATACAGGGAGAGGAAATGGGGAGAGGAGAAACTACATACTCAATTCTTTTCAAAGATTCTAAGTGCTGGAGAGAACAAACTGTTTTACAAAGAAACAGAACACTTCATTTTGGCTCATAAACACCTGTAAACAGCATGCTTCACACTTGCACTGCCAACACTAAGCACCAGCAAGTAATGAACACTGCTGGTTCTGTACTCCTGTTGCCCTGAACCTTATCAGCAGAAGCATTATCCTAACCTTCTTAACTTGGCTACTGGAAGTCTGTACTATAATGAATCCCTCCCCGATATATTGAAGGCTGTAGCACTTCTGCAGCTAATTAGCAAAGGCTCCCTTCCCAGGCACGAGAGCAGTGCCAAGGACTACACAGAAGCAACTCAAGTGCCACATGTTAAACATACTATTGCACTGAATTGATCCACATTTCTATTTGTGAACAAGTAGTTACACATGACTATGAAGTTCTATTATAAAAGCCTCTTCATCACACAAACATACTTAGTACTGGACGACCTGAAAGCACAATCTTGATGTAAAAAGCAGTGGGAGGTAATTTTTTTTTTATCTTTAAGAACATAACAAACCAATTAAATCAATTTAAATTGTTGCAAATACCTTTTTAATTGATAAGTCTAAATGTTGTCATAAATCAAAGTATTTTTTAAAGTATCTTAACCCCTACAACTTTCTACTGCCAAAAGAAGGCATATAAACAAGATTAATTCAGTGCACAGAAACAACTCATTTCTTCAACTCAGACACTTGCAATAGAGCTTCCTTGCATCTGTACCAGCTACAGAACATATTAGCAGTCTGTCAGACTTGTAGAAGAAAAACCCTAAACGTGTGCAGACACACACAAACATCACACAAAATGAAGTGTCCCACCAAGCTCAGTTTGCCAGACTTTTTGTTAGCCAGCTTGAAAGTAAATGGAGGTTGTCTGTGGCGAGAGAATGCTGCTTCAGCAGTTCAGAATGAATTTCAAGCCTGTTCTCTATTTTATCTTTTGTCAGTGTAATGTATTCAATGCAATAGTGAACTGACAATTTAAATAACTACATTTTAAAACAAACGAAGCATTGATGTTAATGTGTGAAAATGGTCCCAACCCTTGGGAGTCCTGGTTCCCACCATTGTTTACTCTGACAACAGGATATAATTGCTTACTTACTTGGCAGCAAACTTTACCATCTGCTTGCTTGCATGCTGTCCCACAGCCACAAGAGCCTGGATATTAAACTGCTGCTGACGCAGGACTAAGAAACACTGCTTCCCTGAATACAAAAGAAAACAACACAGGTGTATTAAGGACAAGTTACTCGAAGTCTTTATAAATGAAGAAAATGTAATTCTGCAATTAAGCTGAGCTTTTAATGAGTTTCTCTCTCTCTTCCCACCCACTCTAGCTATACTTACACTCAGCTCTGCATGTACACACACACACACCAAACCTTGGGATAAATACTACTAAGTTTGCTGTGCACCTAGAAACCTGTGAACAAACATTTTCTAAAAATGAGAAGTCTTCCAAGATAAGTAATACCTAGACAGAAATTAGAATTTGTAACTTTTAGAATATCTACTGTTCTTCAACTGTCGGAAGAAAATCATACTTCAACTTGTTGCACTGCTCACTGTGTTGAGTATTCACTGTTTTCAAATAAGTTTTTTCTCCTCTTGTTAAATGTACTTTGGCACTTCTAAAATTAAAACTGTAGAGTTCATTTGACAAAGCTGCTGAGAGAAATAGTCTTGATTTTGCACCACAGGGACTGTACCAACAATGGTCGTTCTATAATACTCTGCACATTCAGAATGAAGGGGAACAAAAGGAGTATTGAATGTGATAAATGACAAGAATCTAAAAGACCCGAGCAAAAATTTCTGTAAGAGCAATTTATTCATGAACAGCTTAGGGAAAAGGAAGTTAATGGAAATTAATAGTGATTTACAGAGAATATAATGCACTTTGTTGACTTTTAAAATTGGCATTTCCAAGTCAACAAAGCTCCTTCTAATCTGTTTAAGTGACAGTTACAATTACTTCCTATTTCTGCTCACAACTCTAATACACATTCATTGCTTAACTCACATCTAAGGAAATATGGTCATTTTAAACACTTCTTCCTCAGAGAGAGGATGAACAAACAGTCAGTGTCATACCAGCATGAGACAGAACGCATCAATACCATTTCAATGCAAACTTCTGATTCATAAAGTTATAACATTTTCATTAAAATGGTGCAAGTAGGAAGAAGCCAGCATCCCTCATAGACAGCGACTTTCCATTCACTGTTGACTTAATGTTACAAAACATTACAAACAACCAGCAGCCAATGTGAACACTGATACAAAAAAACCAACTGCGATTGCTGTTTGTAAACATGTAGATAACAATTCCTGACACATAGTTGCACATCAACGGTACCAAAGATAAACACATCATTTGACATACAATCTGTCAGAAATAAAAGCAAACACGTACAACTGTTATAGATAATATTAAAAATTAACATAATTACTCTAAATATCTTACTTTGTTCTACAATTGTGATTTCAGAAATGCAATGAAACTAATACCATGTTTTTAGAAAACAGGCTACAACCATTTTCATATTCCAGAGCCTGCGACACGTAAGTAACAAAGCTAACGTGAGATGAATTTACATATTTCCTACTGGCAAACATTAAATCATAGCTTTAAATTAGAAAACTACAGGCTTCAGAAATTAAACAGATCCTTTAAGAGCTATACATGTCTATGCTTCACATTTATACAGAAAGTCAACAAACTAACGTATGAAATACGCAACTTTTCCAGAAGACAGAATATGCTAAGTTTGGGGTAGGCTAGATGTATGTCACATTTAATATCTCTTTATTTCTTACTATACCAAGCACAAATCTGTAAGTTATTTCCTTGAACATTAGTACTTCTCTCTTCTTGCAACACAAAGAAATTGACCAAACATGTCAGAAATTCCAAGTGCAATATTAGGCATTCAAACAAAAATACATAGCTGAAGACTACTATAATGTAGCTCAATTAATAAATATTAGTGGAGAAGTTAGTAAAATAAATGAAGGAACTTGCTATCATACAAATCAGAAGCAAGTCTGGCTGTTGCACTTAACCCCAACCACTAGAAATCTCATCAATATTTCCATCGCAGAAGGACTCATGAGTAATGGTAGTCATTTCTATGAGAAAAGAGGATGTTTTGTAGAATAATTTCTAATCACACAGAAGTTAAGTGATCAAACAAACCTCACTGATGGAAATAATTATAATATCACAGTTGTGAAAATTGTGGGAGCGAACAGAACTTCTCTCAGAAGAGCCTATTATGTGCAAGATAAGACATCAAAAAGATGAGCCATAACCAAATCTAGTCCATCATTACATGCTTCCTTTCTTCCCCGCCTCTTGATCTGGAAAAGCATCAGAGTGAGAGAGAAAAAAAAAAAAAAAAGATTTGGGGATCTCTACGTGTTTAAAAATCCTTATGGGGCATTTCAGTGAAAAGCATTAAGACCAACTATCGTGTAATTGCTCATAGTTAACAAGAGTAACCTATTCAAGGCTTCTATAGCATAAACCAATGCTGTCTTCTATATGAGACAGTCTAAAAAGATGAAAAGTTTCAAAAGGACATTTAGTTAAGAACTTTTAGTCACAGAACAACAAATAAGAGAATACTTCACACAGAATCCCATCACGTATTCACAGAAAACCAAACAGGAATAGATTTCCCTTCTTGGAAGTACCAAATGACACAAGACCTTGAGAGAAAAGGATGCAGGAAGGAATTTGCATAAGCTGCAAAAAAAAAAAAAAGTGTTTATCATACAAAAGGAATACGTTGCTAGTTACAGACATCTGCCAACAAAGAAAAAATGCAGTCCTTCTGCGCTTTGTGGCAGTCTTCTTTTCAACATACTGTTTTATAAAAGCTTTGCGTCCATAAAACAAAACCATACTCTGGTCTGACATATCACAGAAGTCCCGGCTGCCTGGCAGAATGCAGACTGACTTCCCAACTGCTACTCAACGATAAACGTGATCAGTAGCTTAGGCTGGCTTTAAAATAAGGCCAGAAATAACATTTCAACTACCACAAAAAAAAACAGGGCCTCAAGCACTTTATTTCTTGTACAACTCACTGAAATTTCCAACACCCCATTCTTTACACATCCTTCAGTTAACTTTCATCTGGCCTCATGAGTGGCTTGCTATATGAGACAGCTGGCTCCTACAGTTGTTCACATTCTTTTTTGTTGTTGTTTATTGGTTAGAACCAGGCAGGGTTAAATAAAGCATACACTGGTTATTTAGAAGTCAAAAATCAATCTTCTAAGAAAAAATAAAGCTATTTTTGTGCTAGATTTTCCTGTTTCCTGCAAGATTTTCCTCTCCACAGCAGTAGGAATAATGCCACGCAGTGTGTGGGAAAGGCTAACATTACGTCTCACGCTTAAACATTTGCTTTTGTTCTAAGATTCTTCCCCCCCAAACCAAAGTAAACAAGCATACAGTATTCCCTAACAGCATTCCCTGGATGTCAGAATTGTTCTGTCTTGAAAGACCAAGAAGGAAGAACAAGAACAATCAATAAATTGAGAACATTTGGTACTCAGAATCAATTCCTTTGCTTCTATTCTTCAGGTTGTTTTAAAGTTCTGAAAACAGGCATCATTATTTCATAAAAAAAGATAAGTCTATCCTGGGGTCAAAAGTGAAGGGTGAAAAGGAACAGCTTCTTTCAAAGCTGAATGTTGTCATGCTGCATCTTAATCCAACTAAAGTAAAGGCACATATCATGCAAGGCATCTCATATAGAGAAAATAATAAATAACTGAATAAATAACACTGAACCTTCCATTTTTGTAGACAGCAGGTCTACATAAAGACATCTGTCTCTAATACACTACATTCTGTCAATAGTCTGAACTTCTCATCCTACAGCAAATGAAAAAGCCACGAGAATGCTCAGTTATGTAGCAGTAGTAACATTTAAATTGCTTTTTGTCTCCTGTCCGAATAATTCCAAGCTGTGGAATATAAGCAATGACTAAGGCTTCCACAGCTTTTGGCTTTGTATCATCTCTGTACACAGCAACAAATCACTTCCATGTAAAACCACACTGCAGAAGTACTGAGGCAATCACATAGGTCTCTCTAAATTTAAAGATCATAATACAATTTAAAACATCTATCTATACACAGCTCCTTATTTTAATTGACAGATGTACAGGCAGAAATTTAAGGGAATTTATTTATCTCTATATGTATAATTAAAAAGAAAATGACATTTTAAAAAGAGAAATGAATCTGGTATCTGTGTCTCTAATTCACATTATTTCCAGTTCTAAGACTACTGTTACATTTCATCTGTAATGACAATTTTCTTACGCTCTCTTCTTTCAACTCTTGGGAAGACAGAGTATTTCTATCCCCCTATTGAGCTGCCAAATGTAACTGAAGCCAGCACAACAGTTGTCAGTGCCTTGTATCAACTGAAAAGGCCAAAGCCTGTTTAAGTTTGCATATGGCAACCTGATCTCCAGAGGGAACTCCTGATTCCGTGAAGAAACATGGCTGTCAGAGAGCCAAATATGACAGCTCATGCTATTTAGAACCTACAAGAGGATGCTCCCTTTCTCTTACTTAAGAAAGATCATGGTTCTTAATTACAAGACCAAGCTGAAACAATCAGATAATGGCAACAAAGTAAAAATTCTGAAATTTTAATGTGGATTAGAAAACATATAGCAAAACTGTTTGTACACACCAGAATAAATATGGCTGTCTGAAAATCAGTAACTATAATTTTCTATCCCCACTGAGGCTTAAAATCACTTATCTTGCAACTTTAACATCCAAGGCATAAAAATTCTATATATGCATTTTAAGTTACTGTTACCTACAGTTGCCCACATCCTATTTTGTAATGTGATTGAAAAAAAAATCATTTCTGCTACAGTGGGATAGTAATATCCCATCTCCCATTCAGCTGAAAACAATATTTCCTCTTCCCTATTTAGGAAAAGTGGGTGGAAAGCAGAGAAAATAACTGGTTGAAGCAAACACTGAGTAACCACGTGGCAAAGTTTTCCTGTATGCAAGATATAATTAGCAGATAGTAATTGCTTTGCTTCATTTCACTGAAATATCATGAAGCTTAATTAGATGTTCAGGTTACACTAACAAAATGAGAAAATACACACCCGATTCCTGGAAGCCTCTCACCTTTAGCTCTGCTTGTATGAACTCTGCCACGAACCCAAACCACCTCATCAGCCTTCTCCTCTGACAGGTCTTTTATTCGAACTAAAACACGATCTGTATAACAGAAAAAAAAAAAAACATTACAAAACCATGGGGGAGGGGTTAAGGAAAATATTTTTCACTATAAATTCCAGATTCATCTTCTATCACCATTAAAATTTATGTTAAATTCACATTATTATTTTGTGTATCTACAGCATAATAACAATTTTTTCTGAAAACAGAGATTCTGTCTCCTCTCTCAGCAAGTTGTACTTGATCAAGTAGTTTTAAATTGGCTCACGCTGTTCAACTTATACAGCAGGTCAAACAGCACCAAACCAAAAGCAAGACTTATAATTGTTCATGGGTGGTAAAACCCAGCACGACTGCACTACTTCTGATAGGGCTTCACTGTGCTGCACTGCATTAGCTGGTCTGACAGGTCTGGAATTCTGCTAGCTAAGGGATTTCTGCCTTGCCCCACCATGCAACGTGAAAGTTGGCATGTTGAATGCAGCCAAGCAATGCCTCAGAGAAGACTATTCTCTGTATACATGTAAGTGAGGAGAAGATCACTGTAAAATTCTAATTTAAAATAAATAAAAAACCCAAGTTAGTGCATTTCCCAAATGCAAAGAACATTGTGTGCATGTGTAGGAAGAAGAATTTGGATAATAAAGGGGGAAAAAAAAATCACTGAAAATTTCATTTTGTAAATAAATCAAGACTTTACAGATTATACACAACCAGTATGAACTGACAGCACACTGGCTACATGCCATTAGTCCTTGAAACATACTTACTGAATTGGCTATTTCCCTATATTTTGGCCAAAACACTGTTGGAGACTAAAAAAAATGTATTTGTTGTAGTATCTACAAATCAGCAAATATATTTATAGCACACTGTAGAATCTCAACAGTTCTAGCTGCACTTTTTCATTTACAACTCATACACAGACTTCTTGATGCAATAAGCAATGTTTTTAACTTTTTCAAGAGAAACACACAGCACAAGCAATTTATCTTACATCCCAGACATCTCCATTGTTGCTAAATAACACTAAATTTACTAAGACACTTCTTCCCAACTGAACTTCTCCCAAGTTTGCCTACCCCAGCTTACCATCTGCTGTTCTGAACTCCCTCCTTCTGTCTCCGCATACCAGTCACAGCTTGCCCTGCAATCCTATTATTGTGCACAGGACTAGTATTCTGAACTCTGCAAATACCAAGGGGGGCAGTGGTGTCAAAATGCTTTTTTTTCTTTTTTACCTCATGCTAAAGACAATACAGTTTTAGTACTTCCAAGAGTTCAATATGTGGACAGTTGAAATTAGCTCAGTCAACTTAAAACTGCATTACAAGAAACTTGAAACATTTTCCAGGCAGAAGCATAAAGACAGAATGAGGTGCTATTCCCAAGTGTTTCAGAAGCCATCTGCATTATAAATATTAAATATTTTTTGGATACATACTGGTCATCAAGACTAATAAGACAATTTTCATTCAAAAATTTTTGTATGATATAAATTGAAAACAATTTCACCTTTCATAAAAAGGCTAACAAAACAATATGCAAAAAGAGACATAACAAAATGATTTTTTTTTCCTCAGTAACAGGCAAAGCAACTTTTCCATCACCTTACTTCCCTACAGAAAAAAAATACCCTTTCAGTCCCAAATCTCTTCTTTCCTCTTACTTCTAAGATGCTGCTGGATCGTAGTAAGGTCTACATTTTTTAGTGTACACAATTGTTTGTACCTCATTTTGTCTTGTCCAGCCAACATACTGTAGCTTCTACCTTCCCTCCATACTTTCACATACAACTCACTGCACAGGAAACTTCCTTCAGTTTCTGTTCTTCTTTTCCTTGATAAAAATGAAGCCTCCTGTTCTCACCTTTAAGGTTCTCCCACCTTACTCATTATACTGCCTACTTGTTCTTTCACAAATCCAAGATATATTTACATTTTCTGTCTTCTCACCCTTTCTTTCCACATAAACACTTACAGATAATTAAATACTGTAAAAATATTTTAAAACTGTGCTTCAGTTGAAATGAAGATGTGGGAACACAGGTATTAAAGATCAAACCAAACATGTCCAGCCTCTATTCAGTGTTCATGCCATATCACCTTCGCTGCCATTTTAAATCACGTTTATCACCTGACAGATTTTTTTCAGAGCTCTAACATTTTAATGGGAAAATAAAAATCCACAAACTTGTATGGGCTGTACATTTACACACACACACACATTCTCTGCCTGCCTTACCAGCCTTTTTTCTAAGTTCATCTGAGTTACATCACAGAATTTTGAAAGGTATGATCAGTTTTTCTGCAGTCCAGCATCATTACGTTATTGGGTAATTTTGAATAAAAGAACTAAAAGATAAGTTTAATTAAGAACCCTAAAAGTCAACAGCAGATTAAGATGAAAGCAGCTTTATAAGAGGAGAAATGAAACCAATGGGACTGAATGGACAAAAGGGAAAAGCAAAGGGAGTTTTACTAGCAATTACAGCCTCAAGAAAGCAGGAAGGACTGTAAAAACATGATGTAATGAGAAGTAAGAACAGCAGATGGGTGGAGCAGCCAGCATTAGAAGACAGAAGTGGGCCAAGAACAAAGGCACAGATGTGTGTGAGATCAGCAGTGCAGGGTGGATCATCTATGCAAAACCTCTGTAACTGAAAAAAGCTTTATTTTGCCTGGAGAGAAACAAGAACTCATGAGTGCAGTGAAATGACAATAAACTCAGAAACTCATAAACTCAATCACAGAAAGTGACTGATGAGTACACTCTCCCACGAGTCCTTTGGTGAGAACTCTCCCTGCCAGGAGCTCCTGAATCTTTAAGAACATCAACCCTGAGGAAGGCACTGGGCTGATTTGTATTCCTGGCATTTTGGTTTTTATCATTACCTTACTTGGTGTTCAGTGTAACCAGCTTCCAAAGAAATGGAATGCAGCTTTTATCTTATGCCCAATGGAAAGCCTAATCAATCTTGTCCATGCATTGGCTGAGAATGGTTTTATTAAAATGAGGATTGAGGGGACAACAAACCTAATTGCAGCACTCTGCCTTTTTCATATTACTTCCCATAGCTTTTATCATTTGCTTTCTCAATATTTTTTTTCTGTGGAGTATTTTTGAACGTCTCCTTTGAACATGACACAGTTGACAAAGGAAGACTTCCTCCAAGAAAGGGGAATTTGATTCTTCATGTGAGTTGTCCAGCTTGGGGCTCACGCAGAGTTACTGACACAGCGTGTGCAACTGGCACCTGGGACAAAGCTCACAGAAACTCTAGTGAGCCAAATGCCATTGGAAAAGAGTGCAGAGTGAAGAGATCCAACAGGACTTCAGCTTGCAGTCAGCAGTGCAGTTGAACTGGTAAGATGCTAACTTTGAGAAGTTAACTCTTCCTTGTCATCACACCTTCTGCGCTGTGGCTGAAGTGCTATCTTTCCACACTCAGTATGGACAGCTGTATTCCTGCTTCTTCCTGCACTCCAGACCCCAGTGAATTTCTTCACTTTGCCAAACTGGCTGAACAACTCATTATTAGCAATTAAACATGTTGAAATCGAGTACCTGAAGAAGACAGAAGCCAGCAATTAAACTGGCTAACACTGTCAGAATTTCAACTTTAGTTACATTTCTTTGACAACTAACATATTTTATTCAATAATGGCTGTTAATGCAGTCTCTAACGATTTTCTTGCTCTGCTACAATATTGCATGTTTCTCTTTAGTCATTTTCAACCTATGATCGCTTTTGTGGCTTCTCTTCCCTACATTCTCTGCATTTCTCTGAGAGGCCAACCAAAACAACCATTCAGAGGAGAAAAAAAATTACCTTGTTAAAGAAGATGTTTCTTTTTTACATTCCACTACGAAAGAGTTACCAGAAGGCAGTCTGTTACCTTTTCTCATTCATGTTTCATGAACTGAATAATGTGAAGATTAATGTTTCTTGGGATGTTGACCTGGAACACTGTTCTTTAGCTGACAAGTCTTTCTGAATCCTAATTTAGTATCAGTATGAAATGAAGATTCTCTGAATTCACAGTGGTATGAATAACAATACAGCCCATAAATATTAATATATCTACTCAGAATGAGCCATTGCAGCAAGCCAGAGCAGAACTTATTCTAAGCAACAAACAACCAACCCTGACATCTCCAGGACTTGGTGTATCATTAAAAAAAAAACCCACAATAATTTAATACAAGAAAGTCAAACCTGCAGCATCAGAGAAAAACTGACAGGCTGTGTAGGGCATGGTCCTTACTCTCTCCATATCTACTCTGATATTCAACCATTATCATGATATTCTTTTTCTTCTGTCTTATCACAGTGTTCTGTGTTCCAACCTGAGTCTTCTTGACCTCCAGTCCAAATGCCACACAATTTCCAGTCTTGCTTTACCTTCTCTACACTCTTCCGATAAGCAGCTTTAGATAGTAACAAGATCACCATCCCTCAGCTGCCTCCTTTCCAGGATGAACAAACTCAGTTTCTTCAATCTCCCTCACAGATCCTGTGTTCCAGTCCCTGATCAGTCTGGCATCACGCTGGCAGTGTCCTCCTTGCACTGGGGAGCTCAAATCTGGACACAGCACTCCAAATACAACCTTACAAGTGCCAAGCATATTCAAATAAAGGGAAAGAATGACAGCAGGATCTGAATGAGAAAGTCTGGTAAATGATTTTTCAAACAAATAGTGAACATATCCAATAGGTAACTTTTTTGCCACCCTTTTCTTTAAATACTTTTTTCCAAACTGACCTGGTTTCTCTTGGGATTGTATCATTGATGACACTCCATATCTTTCTTTCGCATAATCCTAAGAAAAGGTAAGAAACACACATCAAAGAAGCACACACAAAAGGATGAACAAAATCATTACTTAACTGAGGTAATATAAAACAAATAACTAAAATATTTCAGTATTGAGGTGTAATCTCAAAGATATAAGTGAAAGAATTGTGCCCTCCAAGAAAAATTCCAAAAGGAAACACACTTTAGGATCACTATTCACTACACAGAACTTAGTACAAATGCCTGTATGAAGAGCCTACTCTTGAAAATGTAATGAAGCACCATGGAAGAAGACCCACTGCTGAGCACCTCCTTCCAATATTCAGGCACACCAAGAAAACCAGCAGACTGCCATGACAGTACAAGCAAGCTTGACAGACTACTAACAAAATCTGTTATGGTAGACATTGGGGCGGGATCTATTAAAAAGATCTCAATTCCACATATAGTTTCCATAAAACAAACCACTGATTTATTTTATTCTACCCAGTAAATGCACACAACATCATTCTAAATGCTTTCACTGGGGTTCCTGGCTATTTTACTTCCGCTCAACCGTGGTCTAAATACAAATTTTTTTACAGAAGCGTTCTATAATGAGAATTCCTTGTCACTGACACACATTCAGCCTTTCAAAAGAAAGCAACACTGCCTTTATAGTGAAACGAACTGATTTCCATTATCTTTATTCTTGAAGAAATAGGAACCCACGGCTTTTCAGCGCTGATTCGAGACCTTCAGGCTCAACCTCCTGCCACGCCAGCAGCAGCCATTGAGGCCCTACAGCAGAGGCCTGCTTGTGAGCACGCAGCCGGGCCGTGCTGCTGCTCAGCGCTCTGCTGACGGGGCACGCGGGTACTGCTGTCCTGCGACGCTTCTCGGCGACACGCAGGAGGCCCGCGGGCTCGGGACACACGGCGCGATGGGAAAGAGGCGAGGTACTTCAGCCGAGCACCGACTGGCAGCGCCTAGCGAGGGGGAGAGGAGGACAAACAAGCGGGCTCCTCGCCGGAGCCCGACCCACCCACCCACGGCACGCCGCCCGGCCCCGCGGCCAGCTCGGGCACGGTCCCTTTACTCTCAGCGGACTGGGGATCTCGACGCCGCGCTCGCCCCTTCCCCCCCTTCGCTCCCAACGGAGACCCACGTCGGCCGCCGGCTGCTCTTCGTTGTCCGGGCGGCGGTCCTTGCCCTGGCCACGACCTGCGGCGCTCGGCATCTTGCTGCGGTACCTCACGGCCCGGCCCGCCCCGCTTCGGCCCCGCGCCGCTGGCCCGCGCCAACCTCCCGCGAGATTGTGGCGCGTGCTTCGCGCGATCGGCGAGATTATCGCGAGACTCGAGCTGCAGCCTTTGGTGATTAACGGCTGCTTGTGGGCGGCGCGAAGTCCCTCAGCGTGGCTGAGCGGCAGCGGCGTCCCTGAGGGTGGCGGGCGCTGTGAAAGTTTTGCGTGCTTCCCCTAAGGCGAGAAACAGCCCAAACAGTGATCGTTTCACAAATCCGCCGCTGTCCTGACGGAGTTCAGCAGCTCCTGCAGCCACATACAGCACTGAAATCTGTCACGCCACAGCAGAAGCGCGCTGCTCTGGAGCGCGGCACTGGCGCTGCGCAGCGAGTGGGTTTGGTCCCCGTTTGCCCTGCTGTGCCATCTGGCGCCTTGTGAGCTGAGGTAAAACGTTGGGCTGAGCTGGCGTGGCGACACGCTGCTGCTAACACGATGGGTTTTGATGGACTTGTGAACCAAAGCGCTTTTTTGTTCCGTCTTAACCTGATAGGTTACGCTCCTCTCTTCCTGCTACTCCTGGTCCTCTATTATTAGTTAGCTAAGACCCAAAGTAGCTCTGGTCATTTGAGGAGAATGAACGTAAGAGCAAATCCAGGTGTTTCCCTGCAGCTGGGTGCTTAACTCGGCGCTGCAGTTTTGAGGCTGGAAATGGCTGCAGGTGCCAGCTTTCAGAATGCCTACAATCGGAGTTGCGAGCAGCTGTTGAATGCTATGGCCAGAGCTAGTTTATTTTATGCAGGAAAAGAAGAGGGAGTTAGCGGGCCTGATTTAAGCTGCAGCTTTGAACTCGCACATTTGACTAACTAATCCTTCTTGCAGTATTGATTAGAGTTCCTCATTTCCTGCTCTGCAGTTGTTTATTTTACAGTGCTCTGTTCTGCATCGGTTCAGCCTTTCTTCTGGTGGGAATCCCCTCGCAAAGTTCCCCTTCTCCCTCTGTTTCACAGAATTAATACTTCACAGCTACAAGTCCACTTAGCTTTCACAGAGTCCTTTCTTCTCATGGAAAACACTACTGCAAGTAATAAAAAGCCAGTAACAGAAGAGACAAACCATACTTAGTTCTCGTCCCTACTCACCAGAAGACACAATTTGATATCATGCAGTCCATTTAAACAGTAACAGTAACAAAGCACGTGGATTTCTTACAGCATGTCACTTGTGTCACAAGGCTCAGCAGAACCACTGCTATGCCTTAACTAACAGATGCAGATCTCGTGCCTCATCACTGAGGGATCAGTACCACCTGCATGACTGTACTCTGCAATCTTTGGTATTTCGCTGCCTTTGCTGCAAAATTCAATAACAACCCTGTAACCCTTGGTTTTATGCTGGGAGCTTTGCAGTAATGAATAGCATAATGAGTATTTCCCCCGTGGACAAATAACCTGAAGGTGGTTCTGAAGGAAAAAACCCTTTTAACTTAATGGGAGTGTTAACTGACAACAAAATATAGCCACTTAGGGGGCACTTTAATTAATTATTCCATTGCCAAACTTTCAGAAGAAGCATTTTCCAGAATTCATCCTCTTGGGTCATTTCCTTTGCCTTGCAGTGCTAAACCAGTTTAAAAAAAAAAAAAAAAATTCTACAATACACTGAAAACAAAATTATTAATTTCCTGATAGTATTTATTTTGTTTAAACAAACCCTTCAAATTCTTGACGTAATTTGGGTCTGTAGCAGCAACTTGTTTTGCCATCTCCCTCTTGCTAAATGTATTACAACTTTTCAGTTACGGGAACAAAATACTACGTGACAGTGCTGCAGCTCATCTGCTGCACCTTCTGTCTCGCTGCACCGTTATTGCAAATCACTTAATTGGGGCAGTACCTGCAGTGAACCTTGGAGTGGTAAGCGGGAGCCAAGCCGGGCCCAGTGCGGAGGGGCTGGGCGACCTGCAGCCGCCAGCGCTGTCCCTGGGGCTTCCAAGGATTACCAAATGGAGATGACATCACCCGCAGCCAATCGGGGGGCCCCGAGGGGATGCCTGGATGGGAGCCATAGTCCACTTAAGTAACAAGACATGACATACCATGTGCTAATGCTAAATAATTTATCCCTCAGGCATATAGTGAATCGCAAAGCCAAGCTGAGACCTGGTCCACAGTTTGTAGTTTAAATTAAAACTGCTTTTTCTATCTTAAAGGGAGAGGGGAGCTTGTCAGATGTTGTGGTGAAGACTGAGGTGCAGAAGTCCTGCTCCTCTCTCTGTAGTTACAATTTAATCTAATCTTAACACTGTGTGGTGGTTTGGGGGATGTACTCCACACATTTCTATTAACACACAGGAAAATCTTTAGGTCTTGGTAAATATTCCATATATCCTTGAAACTTAGGCAATAACCTGCAATATCCTAAACATAAGGTACAGGTATGTCTGTCTTACTAATGTTACAAGGGTGTTTGTGTCTCACTAGGGATCCAGAGGCATTTGTTTCTGCTTATTCTGAAGATCACCAGCCCCTGTATAGTTTGAGCTAGCAGTAAACAGTGTGGATATGATGTTAACCATAGCATTTCTTTGTCTGCCGTTCTGGAATTCATAGTGTAGCCTTTCCAGTTCAGTGTTGCAACTGAGCCTTGCCAAACTTTTGCCATACTTTTATTAAAACATAGTGATGGTTTTATTTAAGAGCTGGGGCCACACACTATACAACACTAAGACTGGAATCATGAGAAGTTGACATTAGACAGCACCTTCCACTGTCTATTCCTATGTAGCACTTTGCAGAAATGGTTGCTCAAGTATTCTTTAATTTTCAAGAAATTGTCAGTTACATACGAACTGTATTGATGGGAAGGAGATAAGAATTGCATTATGTTATTTTTACCTATGAAATGAAAAAGGCTTGTGGCCTATGCACTAAGTGAGAATATATTTACCTAGACTCTATGTTGTTTGGCTAGTTAAAACCCAAAGAGCATAGAGTGGTACAGAGTTAACGGGAGCATGTGGAAAAAAATACAAAACAAATTGGTAGTGTCTCTGAGAGGTCTTCTGGGAATTCAGCTTTATTGCCACAGTAGTGTACTTTCCAGTATGCAATTACTCGTTGTCATGGAAAGGGATTTCGAAGATTTCTTTCTTTTGGATGCTACAAAGCACGCTTATAGTAAGTAAGAGGTTGCACTTGATCTTTCCTTTCCATATTAATTTATGTATCTATGTTCTTGTTTGGTTCTCAGCAGGCCACAACCCATATTCCTCTTAGATAACAAAAAGGAAAAAAAAATATATAGTTCTCAGTGGTTAAAGAAAGCTCTTCTATTTATAAATTTCAACCCTGGCAAAAATGTATTTTTTAATACATTGATCATTCTTTTTTTTCACTCAAACATTTGTACAATGAGCAACAAAGGCTTTGCATCTAAATCCAAGTAGGAACAGAATTTGGCAAATCTAATTCCTTCCTGGATTTTCGCAGCTCTCCTTCCTTTAGGAAGTTTTTAGTCAATGGGAAACAAAGGCTTATTGAAAGGATTAAAGTTGCAACTATTCTCTTTGTTTCAGAAGTTCAATCACGGTTTTCCTCTAGTAAACAACATTTGCAATTAATAAGACTTCTCAAAAAAACAGGAACTTTGGGGAAGTACGTGATTATGATAAGCAGGATTTCTTTTAACAGAACTCTGCACAAAGATGTAGTCTTTTTAAGTTAAGACAATGGTAAACAACTGAGTTTCTCAATTTTTCTCCATTTTGAAAGGATTCCTTCTGATAAAAGCAAGACAACATGCACTACAGTAAGGGATGGGCAATACATTTAAATAGGATAAATCTCGTCAACCGTTTATTGTGCCCCAAAATGATTCTAAACAGCTGCTAACAACTCACATTTCATGTCTTGCATAAACCTAGTAATCATGTCTTTCACTATGAAATATCTGTGCCCACTGGATATACAGCACTGCTTCTATTTATGAACTATCACCCATAAATTGTTTATCGTTTCCTCTGTATGATGCTTGAGAAAGGCGTTTGGATAGCAGTTATCTGTGCATGAATAAGAACGCGTGGAATATTTAATCTTTATAATTTATCTTTTACCGATTTTATGTCAGGAAATAGCTTCTGAATATGTTCACGTCAGCTATACTTTTCTTACTCGCGTTATGTGTATTCCTGAGGAATAATCCCCGGCTGAGGGAAACTGAGGGATACTTCGTGACTTTGGTGACAGCCTTCCCTGGAGGGCAGTGTGGAGCTGCAGGATGACTCGGAACGAGTGTGCCGGGAGACGTTCTGTGAACAGCTCATCTATTGTTTTGACCCAAGTGCCCAATTCTTTTTCTGAGGTGGCTCCTGTCCAAAGGAGGCTGAAAACAGCAATCTGGAGCATAAAGGAACCGCAGTTCTGACTAGCCCCTTAAGTGCAAGCCCATTGTTATTCCTTAGACGCCATTGCTCATTTACAAAAAGCATCTTAAGCCATTGTCTTTCTGATAATAATTTTTACACTTTTATCTCACACGCAGGCAGAATTTTTCTATCAGATTTTTTGATTGAGTATTCCTGTGCACCGAGTGTCTTTGATAACTTCTAACCCGAAGTTGGCTTTGGGTGAAGCTGTAAACGTTTAGAATCAGAGGTTTCAGTAGAAATCCTGACTAAGAACTTTCTTTCAGCTGCAGGAACAGTGCTCTGTTATCAGTAAAACGTGAGTCAGGCACCCACATAAAATCTGATCTTTGAGATCATCCACTGCAAGTTCTTTGTTGCTGTCTAAAACAAACAAGAAACAGAGTCGAGTCATCTAAATGATTCAGTGTGACAAACAGGATGGTACCCGCTGCTTTTCAGACATTTTCCTGAAGCAGTGTGAGCTAGTTTGTAAATAAAGGGTATTATTGGGTAAAGGTGCTACAGCAGACATTGTGCATGTATGCATTGAATCAGGCTTGAAGACAGTCACATAGAAATGTGTAGGTTTGCGTAAACAGACAGGCTGATTCCTAGAGGAAATAAGCGTTAGCATGAGAACAACAGCTGAACTAAAATCCCATAAGCCAGGAAAAACAGCCACACAATTACACTAACAGGTGGTTGGTTTCAAAACAAATTTCAAGGTCTGACAGCTCTGTGCACCTGCTTTGGGCTGATTTCTTTTAAGAACTCAGATTTGGCATGAGCCACTGATAAAAGCCATAATTCTT